CCTTCCAGCTGGCAGATGCCACCTACCCAACCACCACCATTTCCCAAGGTGAGCACCGACTACCAGGGTAATGGGTATTTCTTGGTCTGCTCTCAACTATTATTCCACTCCCCCAGACAGACCACCCTGCCACTCCACATTCCCATCACTGCCTTCCTTTGAAGCACTTGCTCTATGCCTTGATCAAGAGGGCAACATTTGATTCAGGCTGATGGAAGCTCAGTATTTCCAGTCTGGATACCAGGCAAAGCCAGTCTTCTTAATGTCCACAGGTCCCTCTTCCCACATCAAGTTATCCTGGAACTATGGCTGCTCCATTTTCCATGCCACATAGTCCTGGTCTACACTAGGACCATAGTCCAAAATACGCCCCCCAGTTCAAATTAGTAAGTCGTGCGTCCATACTACCAAGCCCATTTTTTCAGAATAATGGGCTGTGGAATTCACATTCTGTACTCCTGCTTTACATCAGGAATAACACTAATTCCGAACCTGTAAGACTGAATTATGTTCGTGTGGACGTGCCGGTGCTGCTAATTCGAATTAATTGGCCTCCAGGAGGCCTCCCACAGCTCCCCAGACTGCTTCCAGGGGCTCTGATAGTGTCCACCTTAACAGAGCCCGTCTCGGACTCCATTTAATTTTTCCCCATAGAGATACATGCAAGCTCAAATTTGTTAAATCGGGAGTTCTCAAGTCGAATTTAGTAATTTCGAAATAACTTCCTAGTGCAGACGTGGCCGGAGAGTGCAGACTAATGAATCCAAATGGCTCAGCGGAGTGAAACACTGGCCTCCCAGCCAAGGGCAAACCTCTGGGCAGCTGCATTAACCAGGAAACTGGGCCGGTGGGAGAATGTGCAACATTTTCTCTCTATTTTTCCCCTTTAAAAATAACTTCAAACTATCATCTAAATTTGAAAAACCATGGCCAGCTCTGACCAATTTTGCACCAGCAGCAGCTGTAGCAGGTCACCCGAGAATAGCATTGGATCCCATTTAACAGCAAAACGCTCTCCACACACACAAAGCTTTAGGCACTGGGCAGCAGCTGACAGGTAACCTCTGACTCTGGGGTCCAAATTCAAACCCCTTGGTTTTGACACTAGAGCTGGCTTTCTGGCCAGGAAAATGCTGGGATTTTAGTCAAAGGCCATTTAAGTCAATGGAAAAGCCTCTGTTGATTCGAAGGAGCTTGGATTGGTTCCTAACAAAGGATCCTACAACCTCAGGGACTTCAGACCAACATCACTTCATGCCTTATGTTTCCTGCATATTTCTTTATAGCTTGAATCGTCCGTAATGTCCCTTTCTCCCTTCAGCTGCTCCATCCTCTCTAAGGGTATGTCTACACTGCAACACTATTTTGAAATAACTAGCGCTATTCCGAAATAACTTTGTCCAGGTCTACACAGCAGGCAGTTATTTCGAAATAATGTCAAAATACTGTCACGCTTGAGGACTTCTTCCTCCGATTCCTGTAACCCTCATTGTACAAGGAGAAAGGGAAGTCGGAAGAAGAGGGCTCTATTTCAAAATAAGTGCTGTGTAGACCCTCCCAATTTCGAAATAAGCTATTTCGAAAGACGTAGCTCAAGTTGTGTAGCTTATTTCGAGTTAAGCCCTGCAGTGTAGACACACCCAACCATGGAGAAAGGGGCAATGTTGCAGAAAGAATTTTTTTTGAAATATTGTGGGGTGGGGAGAGTGGAATTTGGGGGATGCTCCTGGATCTCCTGACCTAGGGGAATAGAGAACTCCAAATGGAGAAAATCTCAAATCATCTGGTCTAGACCAGCCTGCAAGAGAGAAGCTGTTGTTGTAAAAAAAGAGAGAGCTCCTGAGATGAGGAGCAAAGAGGCCTGGTGGAGACCAGAGCATCTCAGACTCCCATGGCCTATGGTCATGTCTCATGAATGTTTACCTCTGCATGATTTCTTCACAGATGGGGGCAGCACAGTGCACAGACCCCAGCCCCTGCCACCATCCACCATGCACCAGGGAGGGCTGGCAGCTGCCGCTGCTGCTGATACCAGTTCTGCCTACGGGGCCCGACACAGCTTCTCCAGCTACTCGGACAGTTTCATGAACCCTGCAGCTCCTGCCAATCACATGAACCCCGTCAGCAATGGCCTCTCTCCGCAGGTATGCAGTGCTGTTCTGTTCTCCTTCTCTGGCCTTTGGCCAGCCCAGATCCTATGGGAGAGGAACGGCTTTATGCTGTCCAACACTGTTACGGCAGAGTCATCATTGCATGCTCTCAGGGACCCTCAACATGTCTGTCTGTCCAGCCACCCAGCCTGAGTCATTGCATCTGAGGTTCTGCATCCTATAACGAAGCTCAGATCCTGTTTGTTTCAGATGTCACACTCTGCTCCTGAGAATAGAGATTTAAAGGACAGAGATTTGCTTGAGCCATCCAGTGGAGGGTTGGTGGGAATAGGGCGAGGGGAGATTGTTCCAGCCCATCACAGAGATGGGCCTGACTGAGAAGTTCCCATGCCAACCAAGGTCTGAGCGTTTCAAAGTTCGGGGATGTCTGGTCTGGAATTTTGGTTCCCGTTTCTACCTGGAACTAATTGTGATGTGATTGATTTTGTCTGACATCCTCATGAATAAGAAAACCACATGCACTGTGAGAGAGACAAGGTGCGTTCCCTGTATGTTTGTTCAAATAAAAGATCAGAGCACATCTGTATTGAACTTACCAGGCCAAACTGGTACCTGGTGAATCACCTCTGATCACAACCTCCCTGAGCTCAGGATAGAATGTGGGGCTCCTGAGAACCACTGGACTAAATCGTTCGTGAGGGTGGGGGTAGAGTGAGGTTCAAAAACTCCCAGGGCTAGATCCACACGTGGTGAGCTCCACTGAAGTCAATGGAGTTAGAAGGATTTACACAAGCTGAGAATTTGGCCCACTATGGTGTCTCCAGTCTTTAACACTGAATTACCTGGACTATTAAGTCTAATTTTCTGTCAATCCAAAATATCCCCAGATTTGTCAGACAGAGCGTTTAATTTTCTCCCTTCTCTGATGTGTCGTACTCTGGGTCCCATATGCATATTTTTTTTTTTAGCTGTAATAAGACATTTATCATACGTCAATGGGTAACAACGAGTTGTACTCACCTCGCTTCTATTAGCCTGAAAGATTCCAAAGCGCTTTACACTCTTGCTTTTGCTCACCAGTGAAACATAGCTGCCCGGTGGGTGAAACGTGGCTTGTTTTTAAGGGCTTGTCTATGCACTGACGTAATGTGCACTACAGGGATTTGATTTCCAATGTGCAGTAATGTGTTGTGCATTCACTGTTCCACATAGACCATGTGGATGTGCACAGAAAGCTGGTTAGTGTGCTTTTACATAGTCATATGTACATATAGTGAGGATACGTCTACATTGCACACTTATTTCGGAATAAGCTGTTCTGGAAGAAATACTCAGAAATAGCTTATTTTGAAATAGCACCTCTACACTACAGAGAAGCCTTGAAATGAGTCCGAGGCAGTCTCCTCTAAAGTGGATGTGCTACCTTGATTTAGACCCCTAGGGAGGAGCTATTTTGAAATAGCAGCAGGGGAGTGTCCACGCTACAGCTATTTCGAAATAGCTATTTCAGAATAGGCGCTATTCCTCATACAATGAGGTTTACAGAAGTGGGAATAAGCCATCAGTTATTTCGAATTTATTTCAAAATAACAGAATTGCTGTCTAGATGCTCACATTGTTATTTCGGAATAACGGCCATTATTCCAAAATAACACTGTTGTGTAGACGCACCCTAAGGCTGTGTTTAGATTGGCAAGTTTTCTCCTCAAAATCATCTGATTTTGCGGAAAAACTTGCCAGCTGTCTACACTGGCCGCTTGAATTTCTGCAAGAACACTGATGATCTAATGTAAAATTGTCAATGTTCTTGCGGAAAGACTGTGCTGCTCCTGTTCGGGCAAAAGCCCTCTTGCGCAAAACATTTGTGCAAGAGGGCCAGTGTAAACAGCACAGTACTGTTTTGTGCAAAAAAGCCCAGATGGCTAAAATGGTTTTGCGCAAAACCGCGTCTAGATTCCTGTAACCCTCAAAGTGCTTTTGCGGAAAAGCGTCCTGCCAATCTAGATGCGATTTTCCAAAAATGCTTTTAAGGGAAAACTTTTCCGTTAAAAGCATTTCCGGAAAATCATGCCAGTGTAGACGTACCTATGAGTGTTCAGCAGCACTGTTTAAGACAAGAAGTGCAGGATAATTTATTTAATTGAAACTACAGGAAGATTTTTAGTAAGCATTTGAAATGAAAAGGTTGGAACTGTTCAGTTTCGAGAGAAAGCAAATAAGAAGGGTCATAACAGAGGTATGTAAAAATTACCGGTCTAGAGAAAAAGAAGGGAGTATTTAAGGTAACAGTACAACACATTTAAAACTGATACAAAGACAAACTTTTAACACGATGCCTAATTAATGGGGCTGGCAGTAAAAACTTTGACTGAACCCTTTCCTACTGGATAATGCAATTCTGTTAAAATTGTGTTGGTTTTGCTGAAATTTGATTTAGGAGAAAAACAGCAACCAAGTTCCAACAGCGCAGAAAAGTCCCATTTCATAGATTTCTAAATTCCAAAGGCAGAAGAGACCACTGGGATTATGTAGTCTGACCTCTTATATTTTATAGATTAAAGAACTTCTTCCAAACAATTCCTATTTCTACATTTTTGGATCTAAATGTGTTTGATTTTTTTTTAATTTTGAATGTTTTGATATTTTGTTTTGAAATGATCTTTCCTTTCAATTTTTTTTATTATATTATATATGATAATATATTTAGAAAAGGTCAAAATCTAATTGAAATATTACAACTGATCCAAAATGGTATTTTTCTCAGTTTTCCAGCATGGAGAATTTTGAAATGTTTGGGTTTGATTCTGATTCAAAACAAAACCACATTTTGAAATTTCATGAGTATTCAGGGGATGAAATTTTGGTTCTCTACCAATGTTCCCTCTAATCTTTTCCATCTATGTGTGGATTTTTCCCATCTATGTTGCAGAATAAAAATGTTTATGTGCACCAAGACGTGTGTATGTGCACCATCAGTAGAAACAAAAAAATCTAGCTGTGGGCACTTTGCTAATCAGCTGGATGGCACTGGCATCTCTCCTGAGAGGCAGCAAAAGTGCATAGCTTACAGTGAATACAGTTTTCCACCCATCTGCAATAATAAACCTGTGGAACTCATTGCCACAAGATATCATTGATTTCCCTGGAAATGTGACAGCTTAGAAATGCTGTCCTGGACTATTAACTGATCAAGAAATGTACTAACAAAAAGAGGAGTATGGGTAGGGACTCCTTTATGACTCTGCATATAGGGAATAAGTTATGATATACTTTAATGTAGAAAATACATTAGCCTGAGTTTGGAAAAAAAACACATTACTTACAAATGAAGAAGCTTCCATGTGTGAGCTGCCCAGGTCATCTCAAATGCATCCCAATACAACATTTATACAACATCACATCATAGTGAATTTTGTTTCTCTCCCATTAGTTATGGAAAAACTTATTTTAGAAACCTACCAGAGAAATGGCTCTTTCTATGCTTACCCCGACCCCAGATTATCCTGCCTTCAGGCCTTGGAGATGGATAAGAGAGAGTCCCAGACCAGTAAAAGTCTTTTAGCCTTTAAAAACGTAAAGCCCACGATCTTGCTTGTTCTTCAAGTCCCCTTGAAGAAATGGGGTCTTGATGCAGTGGAAAAGGTGAGATTCAGAGCACTCACTTATAACGCTAGAAAGCCCAAGGTATCCACATGTAAATATATCCAGATTTTTGTGTCTAGCAAACCTGTTTTCAGTTATGTTATCGGTATTTTATACTCGTTCGTTTTACCTCCGCTTTGTCCTTTTGAGCTACACAATCAGATTTGTGGTAACCAAGACCTTTGGTTTTAAAGGCAGAAGGATACAAGAAATAGTCCTGGTAATGGGAATAAAAATCTACAAGGCATTCATAAAGTCTCTTTCCCATAACGTATTTACACATGCAGAATACGTGATAGGCTGGGGTGGGGTAAAGGTTTTATTGGTCCTCGTTGGAAGACAACCTGCATAATTTACTTGGAAATAGGGTTTCCAACTTTGTATCTGAACAAAACTGGACACCCCAGCCCCACTCCTGCCCTGAGGCCCCACCCATGTCTCATCCCTTCTCTGAGGCCCTGCTCTCTTTTTGCTCCACTCCGACTGTCACTCAGTCTTCCCCACCCTCATTCACCTTCCCTGGGCTGTGGCAGAGGGTTGGGATGTGGGAAGAGGTATAGACTCTGGGCTGGAGTGGAAGCTCTGGGTTGGCCCAGGGTACAGGACAGGGCTCCAGGTGAGACAGCAGGCTAAGATGTGGGGCAATGAAGGCTACAGCTAGGATTGCAGGCTCTAGGATGGAGCCGGGGTGAGGAATTTGGAGTGTGGAAGAGGAATCCAGGCTGAAGCAGGGGGTTGGGGTCTTGGTGGCACGTGCCACAGCTCCCAGGAAGCAGCTACCAGGTCTCTGAAGTCCATAGGCACATGATCAGCCAGGGAAGTTCCGTGCACTGCCCTTGTGCCCATAACCACTGCCTCTTGCAGCTCCCATTGGTCACAGTTCCTATCCAATGGGAGATGTGGAAGATGGAACTTGGCGTGAGGCCAGTAAGCAGAGTCTCCCAGTCTCTGGCTGCTCCATGTGCCTAGGGGCCACGGGAAACTGACGCTTCCAGGAGCAGCATGAAGCCAGGGCAGGCAGGGAGTCTGCCTTAGCTTTGAGCCCCCCGCTCTGCTGCCAACCAGACTCTTAATGGCCCGGTTGGCAATGCCAATTGGAGACACCGGAGTCCTTTCTCAGCTGGGCACTTTGACTACCCTTCATGTAAGTCATGCAACCCTCCACAGCCCTACAGATAAACTATTTGTACCGTTCTATCTGTCTATAAAGCTGTCTGTTTGTCTTTCAATCTATCTCTTCATTTGCAATGGCTGCCCACTGTTGGTAGGAGTAAACAAAAGGGGTTTTAGGAGACGGAAAACTTGACCAGTATGAGCCGCAAAGAGACAGTTCTCTGGTTTCATCCCTCGACAGCAATAGGGGGAAGCTTTCTCTGCAGGCTGGGCAAGGA